GAAGAAATTCTACTTTTCGTTGTAACCGATCATCCATGGCTCATTCGGTTTCTTCAACGCGGATAAAGCTTCCCTGCTTGATTCTAATTCCTCTTCTATATACTTTGGAAGGGAATGCCTCGTCAACATCTCATCGTCCAGATCATTGTTGTAGCTTAAAATAATCCTGGATGGTGCAAAAAAATTGCATGAGAAACTAGAATTTTCGCCAATTGTTTTTTACCATCATGTTCAATTCTTGTCCGTCAGTTGAACTGGCGCTAATATTTAACGTTATGAAGTAGGATGCAAATCTCACAAAGTATATAATCATTCTCATATTTTTTAAATCAACCTTTTTTTCTTTGACGACAACAAATCATCATCCTGATAGCTTTGATCGTCACTATCATTATCACCGTCAGTTTCATTGCTTTCTGGATACTTCCGTCTCCTTTTACGCCCAGCTGCTAAAAAAAAAGAAATCTGAAAAAACAAAGTAGTTTAAAAATGCCTTTTACAAGGCAAACAAAAGTTTAATAATTTGGAAAGTCTGCATGAGTGAAATCAATATACGCAAGACTGAAAGGTGGTACCGATAAATGCATACCGAAAGTTGATCACCCTCCCTGTGTTCGCTCTCTGCATTTGATCAAAAGCTCAAAATACCTCGCCACATTTCAATGAGCTAAAGTGTTCAAAAAAATATCCAGACTGCTAACACGTGTTGCCTACAGCAACCGTCTGTTAGTGATCTTTTAATTCCTGAGATCAGCTGAAAGATCATTTTGGGTATCTGATGTTAGTGATGTTACTAGGATGCTCCAACGCTTGAAGTAGCTTTGCGAAGCCGTTTGATCCTAGATTATATATCTCCACCTTAGTGCCCACCATCCCCGTTCTGTTGTGATCATAGTAGTGCGATATAACTGAGCACAACAAACACCTGTCGCGTGATTTGCCAGTGGGACATCAGTCAGAATCGACTGGTGGGATATCAGTATTGTATTAGAACCGTTAATTGCTGGCAAAGCTACACCAAAGTAAGGGCAAAATGCCGTAGCAAGACTCAAAGTTCTGCGCTGTACTGAGTATTTTTCTGGTTTTTGGCTGAATGAATGTCTACTGTTTACCGGGCTCAATAATTTAAGATTTTTCAAAAATTTTTGTTTCGACATTCACATCAGCACTCATATCTTTAAGGTAAATAAATATAAAATAATAGTTGTCTTATAAAATCTTTTTCTGGATCCTTTATCAGGCTCACCTTCAGCGGATTCTTTTTCCTCGGAACTGTTCTTTTTC